CCCCAACACCGTCGCAGGCAAAAGAGCTACACGGACCATGATACGGGACAACCACAGCATCACCGACATGGGGCTCTGCGTCACCATCGCTAGAAGCACCAAGCTGCTGGGCGCGATGTTCAACGACAGGAACGACATGGGCCAGGAGACGGCAGCACGCACCATCGCGCTACGCGAGACAACAGGCCCACTCCGACGCACCTTGTTCCAACGACAAGCCATCTCCATCCAGACTAAGATCCACTACCTCGAGTCATTCGGCTATTCAAGACTGCTATTTAACGCGGGGACATGGCTCATCACAACAGCGCGGGACTACCACAGGATCAACACAGCCTACGTCACTGCGGCTCGACAGGCAATAGGAATTACGCACAAGGCCATGAAGGACAAGCACATCACCAACGAGCAGATACTGGCACGTGCTCAACTACCGAACCTCGAAGACCGACTACGATGGCTACGACTGCGAGAACTTTTGCGACTCATAAAAGGATGCCCGTACGAAACGCAGGCACTCATTGACTACGACATCGAAGTCAACGGCACCTGGACGCAAACCATCAACAACGACATCCACACATGCCGACAGCACTGCGACGGCACCCGCATCACCACCGCACCCAAGGACATCATCGATTTCATCAAGGCTGCACGCAACGACATGCACACGGTCAAGTCTTTTATTACGAGCACCTACAAGCGCGCACAAGACTCATCCTCCGACCGAGCAGCGCAGGACCAGCTGCGGGCAGACCTATCGCTAACGGCAACAGCACTGGGAGTGCCGCCACTACCCCGACAAGCAGGAACCACGACACCAGCACCAGCCAGAGTTATGTGTTACCATTGCGGTGCTACATTCAAGACCAAAGCAGCACACAACAAGCATGTCTACGCCGTCCACCAGGACAAGCACACCATAGACAACTACATCGTCGGCGACACCTGCCAGGTATGCTTGAAGTACTTCTACACCGCGAACAGACTTACCAAACACGTCAAGTCGTCACACCAGTGTGCAGCCACACTGATGCAGTTCGGAGCGAAGCCGCCAACAGAAGACATCGACGCGCACAAGGAGGAGACCCGACGCGTACGACGATCCAACCGACACGCTGGGCTTCCAGAAGACTACGCCGAGCGGCCACCCATCCAGCTACATGGGCCAGCACTGGGACCACCAACCCACGCCGACCACGACCACCGACCAATACCAGCCCAAATACCCACCGACGCACCCACCACACAAGACAGCGGACCCAACCGAGCAGACACGGGGATGACCGACATCACAGGAAAGCCCAGCATCGTACTGCTCTTCACCGCCAACCACGACCACACCAGCGCGGTGACCGACGCCCTCCAAGCCACCGCAGACAGACACAGCATCTCCATCGAACTCCACCACCTGCCAACCATGCACCCACCCCAACCTGACCCAACGGCTTCCGACATGGCCACGACACCATACGACCACGCTGCCTTCTGCATCATCGACGCCGACCTCACGACCTTCGACCGCGACCTCAACCTCAGGACGCAAGAGGCACCTTGGGGACGACTGGATCTCACACCCACGCAGCACAGAGCGGTACGACAAGACAACGACAGCATGCGGCACGTCTTACGGACCGCACAGCGGATGATGATGACGCGCACACCTACCATCATCTTGGACAGCAGCCTCCGACACCTGCTGCTACAGGAATACGCATACATCACAACGACGTGCAGCACAACCCTGACCACAGCATTCACTGCTTGCAACTGCCCTGCAGACATCACCACGACAACGACACTGACGCAGGCCATAGAGCAAACACTCCAGCCCACCGCCGACGCATACACAAAGGCACAGACGTGGCACTATGATGGACATGATGGCAACGGCGACCACATCAGCACCGAACGCCGACCCAGCACCGACGATATGTGGCATGCTCGACTGCATCGTCATCCACAACAGCCAGGACCCGACTGCTGGATGTCAGAACGTCCAGGCGCGGTGCTCCTCGAGCCGCGACCTGGATACTCGTCGCCACAAGCCTCGAACTGCCTCGCTTCATCAACCACGTCAGAACGCACGACCGACCACACCACACGTCGTCAGACAACGGAAAACGACATGCCCGTAACAGGGGCACAAGAAGAGCAACGGGGGCAACCACCACGCGATGGCGCCGAGTACGCATGCGAACGAGGCCAACCCCGAGGTGAACGCCCCCTCGAGGAGGACGACCGATACGGCGGACACATGGGCGACTTCTGCGGCCCCCCGAACGACAACCACGGCGAGCACCACCCCGCGGAGTACAGGTTGGTGACCACCCCCTCGCGGTGAGCGTGCCGGCCCCCAGGAACGGACCTGGGGGCGCTGGCGGCCGCGAGAGGGGAAGAGACCACCTTCATCCTCTGACACCTGGGCCCGCGGGGCGCCCCCCCCCCCCCCTAGTAGGTTGTGGGCCCCCCCTCCGTTCCTTTCTCGCGCCCATGCAGGCTTTGTTTCTCTCCTGTTGAGGGGTGGGGGCCCACAACCCTACAATACATTTGCCCCCCCACTACCACCACCTCCGCGTCTTTCGAGCGAGGAGGAGTACGTACTCCACTATGGAGGTGGTGGTCGGGGGGTGGCGGGCCCAGTACAAACCTAGGCCCGCCCCAGCGCCTGGACCCTGGCTCCGCTTTCCCCTCCTCCTCGGCCCTTGAGGTCCCTCCCAGGCCCCTGTGGCTCCTCTCTCCCCCGTCTGCGGGCCAGGTTTCCAGAGGCGTTTTGAGGCCCCCTCCTGAGGCCCCTCCAGAGGATCTCAGAGGCAGGGGGTCGTGCGTCGCGCCGCGCGATCGGGCGCGCGCGCGGCGCGGGCTGCGGCGGACAAGAACCGCTTTGCCCGCAGTGCCGCAGGAGAAGGAGGAAAAGGAGGAGGCGGAGGAGGAGGAGGAGAAGGAGGAAGAGGAGGAGAAGGAGGAAAAGGAGGAGGAGGAGGAGGAGGAGGAGGAGGAGGAGGAGGAGGGGGGAGGGAGGAGGAGTCTTTGAAGGGGCCCAGGCCCCACATTCTCGCAAACCTCCCCGGGACTTGCCGCGGTTCCCCGTGGGGGCATCCCTGCGTGCCCCTTGGGCGCCCCCGCGTCTCCCCGCGTGCCTTCTCTGAGGCCCAAGGGAGGCCCCAACACGGGGCAAGAGGGCCCGAAGAGGGCCCGAGGACGATCCGAGCGGGCCCCGAGTCGCCGAACGATCGCTCCAAGACGCTCGGCCTCCAAGACGCCCCAGGAGGCCTCCAAGAGGCCCCCCCCTAGAGGGCCCCAAGAGGCAAAATCGTTGAGTTTCCTTTGGTTTGTGAGGGTGTCTGGCTGTCACGCCATTTCTGTTGCCCGACGCTCCAGGACGGTCCAAGAGGCCCCGAAGACCACCCCGAGACGTCCCACGAGGCCTCCAAGAAGGCCCAAAAACTGCCTGAGAGTGCCCTAAAACGGCCCAAGAGGCGCCCAAGACGGCCTAAGATGGCCCCAGGACAGCCCCAAAAGGGGCCCAAGAGAGGGAACACAAAGCGAAAATCCGAGCCTTCCGCCCCAAGAGGCCCCCATGAGGCCCCAAAATGCGCCCAAGAGGCCCCACGAGCCCCCAAGAGGCCTCAAGAGGTCCCCAAGAGGCCCAAGAAATACCCCAAGTGGCGCCAAAACGGCCCCCAAGAGGCTTCAAAACTGCCTCCAAGAGGCCCTCGAGAGGCCTCCCACGAGAACCGAACGAACATCCAATAGGCTTCGTACCCACAACCCAGGCACTGTGGTGGGATGGGCAGAAGGCAATTCGATATACTGGAATTTTCCAGTCGCGACCGACGAGATCGGTCGCTACCGGTGTTGCTTCCAATTCTGGAATCGGTCGCCACCGATCTGCTTCAAAAAATCTGTCGCGACCGATCAATCGCCATCGACTTGTCGCCATCGGTCGCGATAGACTTGGAGTGCCGATCGGTCGCCACCGATCGCGACCGACAAAATGTGGTATCCAATGATCTGGGCCCCTCTGACTGGAACTACCGCCACCCGAAGAAACACCACTTACGGAAGACTCGGTTTAGTGATTATGGTTTATTTCTTGGGTTTGGAGGCCCAATCACTGACTGGCTCCCCTTCACCAGATCCCTAGAGATTTCCGTCTGGACGCCCGAAGTGGGTACGAAAAATATGGGCACGCTGACCAACAACAAATGTAGACCAACACCGAGAGCGGCCGCTGTCAAACGAGCAACGACCGCCACGACGCCGACAGCGAATCCTGCACAGAATGAGCAACAACTACTGTTGGGCTTTGCACCCATCATCAGGAATTTACTGACCCGGGTCAATCCAAATTCGGGTCAGTCAGGCCTTGCAGGATCCTGCAGGATCCTACACCCAAGCCTGGGTCAGTGCACCCCTGGCCCTGCAGGATCGTGCAAGATCCGGCGCTCTGACCGACCCCCGTTTGCACTGACCCCCGTCTCTCGAGCCTAGACATCCTTGCCTGGGGCGCACAGGGACATACCATTACGACATGTCCTCCTTGGAGGCGCGCGTCCGACCCGACCCTACAGTATGCCCACTGCAGCATATCGTTCCCCGAGCGGTGTGGCCAGCGAGCGCCCGCCACGACGCACGTACTGTGAGATTTCTCGGTGCGCGCATCGCCCCTGGGGGGGGGGGGGGCGACGCACACACAGCATTGAGTACTCCAGATTTCGTAATAAAAGGGAGGGGGTCTCATTTCGGGGGGGGTCTCTTCCAGGCTATCTTGGAGGGCCTGGGGGGGTCTGGGGACGATGTTTTGGAGGGTTCTCCCACGGGGGGGGGTCTAAAACTTCTCTCTGGGAGGGTTGAGACCCCTCCCTTTTATTACGAAATCTGGAGTATGGGGGGGGGGGGCGCCGATGCTCCGCCACCATCTGGCCCCCCCCCCCCCCCGCAGCCGAATCCCTCCGCCGAGCCCACCCGCCCCCAGCCCCGGGCGGCACGCGGCGGTCCTTCTTGGTGCCCGGGAGGCGCACGGTGGCGCGCTGCCTCCCGTCGGGGAACTTCTCCTCGGACGCCCGGCGCGGAGGAGGGGGCGCGGCCCCGCTCCCCCACGGAGGGGGGGGAGGGGCTGGCTCTGGCTCTCCAGCCCCCCCCCCGCCCCCTACGAGGGAGGAGGGAGGGCGGAGGAGGGCGGAGGAGGGCGGAGGAGGGAGGTGAAGGTGAAGGGGGGAGGGCGCGGGGAGGAGGGGGGAGGGCGTTAGGGGGGGGGGGTGGTGGGGAGTGGGGGGGCGGAGGACGGGGGAGGGGGGGAGAGGGCAGGGAGGAGGGGTGGAGGAGGGCGGAGGAGAAAGGAGGGAGGATCGGACCGGATCGGCAGGAGGAGGCGTCGAGCTCCGCAGCGCCGCGTGGGGGGGCCTCCTGTGGGGGCCACAGGTGTGGAGCTTCAAGCTCCAAAACAAGACTGCCAATACTTCTATCCCGCCCTGCCTGGCGACAAAAAACACCGCGGGCCCAACCGTGCACCCTGGCCGGGGGCTCAAGATTTACGCCCCGCAAAATCAGCAGCGAAGCTTCCTCCCAGCCCCTGATACGTACCTCCACCTCAATCCCTGCCCCCCACCCCTCAGCACTAGGGCGAATGCCCGCACCGTGCATCGTGCGGCCAGGGTCCGGTCCCCTAGAGGGAAGGGAGCACCTGGCCATCGCTCGGACGTCCGTTCCCTGTGCTTTTTTCGGCTTCGTGCGTGGTTTTTCCACCAAATGATCAAGGATGCTCCTCGATGGTCCTCGCCGAAGGAAAAGTGCACACGTCCGAGCGATGCCAAGGCACAGGGGGGCGCGCGAGGAGCGGGTAGAGTGAGCAGCGATACATCATACAACGCGGATTTGCAATGGGATTTCAGCGATGACAAGCAGCAACCTGAACCTCAGCGCTACAGGCTGTTCCTTGGACAGGCGGAGGCTGGCAAAAAGGCGTTGGGATCGCTGCGGACCGAGGGACCGGGGGCGGAGGGAAAGGAGGGGAGAGTGGTATCGTCGTCGGTTCGCTTAGGCATCCCCATCCGCCTAACCACTTTCGCTCGCGATACTCATCGAGGAACGAAAACATCTTCCTCACGGCTCACGGTGTCCGCTCAATCAATGTGCATCGGTCTGCACTGAAGGCATCACTGGAATCTGGTGGGTCGTGCTGGTAGTCGAGCTTGTGTTGTAGGGAATGTGTGCGCCGAATCCTCCGCCAGAGTCCAGGATCATGGCCCTCCTCGAGTCGTCCTCATCGTTGACGGTGGTGAGCACTTGCGCCTGCACCCCGAACTTGAAGCAGCCCACGCCCGAAGGGCAACTGGGGTCGCAGACGATCGGCAGCCTCTCGCTGATGCGGGGAACTAATACTGCCGCGCCCGAAGGGCAACTGGTGTCGTAGACGATTGGCAGCCTCTCGCTGATGCACGGAATCTCGTAGCCGCTGCACAAACCTTGCGGGCGCCTACGTCTGGCGGGGGACCTAATCCGCAGCGTGGGGCGGTACTGGAAGAGACACCGCCGTCCGAGCCCGGCGGACGGCTGGGGGCTAAGGGAAGTAGGCCTGCCCCAATGGAATGGACACACCTCAGAGCCGCATGAGGGAGGAGGAGGGAGGAGGGCGAAGGAGGGAGGGGGGCGGGAGGAGGAGAAGGGGAGAGGGAGAGGGGCAGGACGAAAGGTGGGAGCGCTCGCGCCACATCTGACATCCTACCTCCCATCCCTCCCATCCCTTCAGATTGCAATGATTTGTTATCCATCCTTCAACGGGTGTCAGAGCGGACCAGAAACACCCCAACCGTGTTGGGCGAAATCTGAAAAGAGGAGGTGTGCGTGTGTGTGCATTGGGTGAGGCGGTGGCGGATGAGCGGGAAGATCAGCAGGAGGCGGCGAAGAGGGATGAGGAAGGAGGAGGACGTGGAGGAACTGCAGCAGCAGGAGCAGGGGGACAAACGGAGCAGCAGGAGGGCCAGGGCGAGGCGGGGAAGGAGGACAGGGAAGGGGGCAACGCCGACGAGGAAGCCACCGGATCCAGCAGTGCAGCCCGCGCCGGGGCGGGAGCGCCACCCTGAGAGCGGCGGCAGTGCAGCGCCGATGCCGAGATGGGGCCGGCGCTGCAGCGGGGGGGGGCTCCTCCTGGGAGGGCCGAGAGGGGTCGGATGGGAAAGCACACAGAAGAGCACACCACTCGCGCGCTTGGACTCCGTGGATAAGAAGGCAGCCCGCGGAGGGCGGCACGCCACTCTCGGGACGTCCTCGGGGAAGAGAGAGAGAGAGAGAGAGATATATATATATATAGTAGTACTCAGATGGAAACATGTAGATGTGGCCCCCGCGTCCTGTCCACGGTATCCTCCAGGTCCTCTCGGCCTCCTCCCCAAACGAAGGAAGAATATGGTGAGGAGGAGGAGCAGCAGCAGCAGCAGGCGGAGTGTTTTTAGATTTAGCTCTCCGCCACCACTGGTGAGGAGGGTGGGATGGGGTGAGGAAGCAACTCCTGGGAGGTCTTCGCAATAATGATAAATCAGAAAATCAAGGTTCGACTGACGCCGATGAAGGAGACATTAAACTGCACTGGCCTGGACTAGGCCCAGAATGAAGCCCGGGTAAGCCTGATCAAGGGACCAAGACGGCAGACTAAGCGGGAGTATGCTGGATTGGGCCGCAAGCTCTCTACCACGGATATGCAAGCGCCGACGCTGAATCCCACCAGCCCTCTGGGCGTATGTGGTTCAACGGACTCTTTCTCTCCTCTTCCTCAACCCCCCCTATTCCCCTTCGGGGAGGAGGCGCGAGTGTGAAGGCTTTAACCTCCAAGGAGTTGCCTTCTAAGGGGGCGGGAGCAGGCTCAGGAGCTGCATCCTAAGACTGACCATCGCTCGGACGTCCATTTCCTGTGTTTTTTGTCGGTTTCGTGCGTGGCTTATTCGCCAAATGATCGAGGATGCTCCTCGATGGTCCTCGCCGAAGGAAAAATGCACACGTCCGAGCGATGCCAAGAAGAGGGAGGGGGCCCCCGAAACACAGCACCTCGACGAGGGTGAGGAGGCGCGGCACAGCACAGCACGGCCCACCGCCGGGGGTGCCGGAGGAGCTGGCCGTGGCACTCGCGATGAAGTTCCCGTGCCCACCAGCACATCCACAGGAGGCTTCTAGCTCGGCTCAGAACTCTACTGAGTATCATTTAACCGATCCCCATGCCTGACAATTCTTCGAGCCCGCCCGGAGCGCTTACGGGCAAGAGTAGTGCATCCCCCAAGGCGATGAGAGGAAGCGATTCTTCGAGCACCCCGGTGGCTCCTGTGGAGGAGTCAGGGGGCTCCTCTCCACGCATGCGGAATCGAGCAGGCAAGCAGCACGCTGGCCGTGACCGATGCTAGCGCACCTGCAGCGGACGAGCGTGGCGGTGTCATCACCGCTGCATGCTAATTCGGTGGTCCTGGGGACCAGAAGCTATCAGGAAGAGGACGGCGACGAAGTCGAGACAAGGATGAGGAGGAGGAGGAGGAGGAGGAGGAGGAGGAGGAGGAGGAGGGATGGGGAACGGGAGGAGGGCGAGGAGGAGGGAAGGAGGAAGGAGGGGGGGGTAGAAGGTGCTCGAGTGCTGCTGGAAATCTACTGGGCTGAAGGGTGCCCTCCTCCTGCCCCTCCGACCACCTGCTCCTCCTTCCTCCTTCCTCCGTCCTCCCTCCTCCTCGACCCTCCTTCGACCTCTCCCTCCCTCCTCCTTCCTCCTTCCCCCTTCCTCTTCGATCCTCCTCCTTCCTCCGCCCTCCTTCCTCCTTCCTCTTCGATCCTCCTCCGACCTCTCCCTCCCTCCTCCCTCCTGCCCTCGGCCGCAGGCTGGCAGCACGGACGACGAACCCGCGGACCCTGCAACCGGGCGCCACCTCCACGGATCGGGGCAGGCACTCCCCGAGACGCGCGGGGCCAGTGCCGCCTGACAGTGGCGACGATGCGTGCCGACCCCGTGCGGAGACGGGACCCGTCGCTACTCCGCGCGCCTTGCTCTACGGTTTTGGGGGAAGCCATAAGAGGACGATGCCGCTACCCTCGAACCTCTCCTGGTGTGCGCTCTGACCAGGATTTTGAAGCGAATCCAGCCGCGGCGATCAGGGCCTCACAGGAGACTCAGAAAGGCGAAAACGAGGGAAGGGTAGCGGTACGGGAACCTTCCCCTCACCTGAGTTTGCGCTACATCGATCTCCCTCCCCCTCCCCCCTCCCCCTCCCCTCCTCCTCCTCCTCCTCCTCCTCCTCCTCCTCCTCCTCCTCCACCTCCTCCTATCCTCCTCCTCCTCCTCCTCCTCCTCCTCCTCCTCTCCTCCACATCCTCCTCCTCACTCCTCCTCCTACCTCCTCCTCCTCCTCCTCCTCCTCCTCCTCCTCCTCCTCCTCCTTCATCCTCTCCTCCTCCTCCTCCTCCCCCTCCTCCTCCACCTCCTCCCTCCTCCTCCTCCTCCTCCTCCTCCTCCTCCTCCTCCTCCTCCTCCTCCTCCTGCTCGCCCCGCGTCGGCGGCGTCCGAGGTCTCGATGAGCATGCGTCTGTCCTGCGCGGCGCCACTCCCTCAAGAGCAAGAGGGGGAAACACTACAGTATACACATACGCTATAAAATCTTGCGATTCCCCAGCCAGTGCTTGCACTGGAGGGGTCCTCGCGGGTAATTCCTGATGAACGATTTGGCGGAAATTCTGGCCCGATTTCTGTGGGCGGCTGGGTTCCCGGGTTCCTGGTTCCAGCAACTCTGGGCCGATTTGGGTAGGCTGCCGGTCCTCAATCGGGGGTAGTCTGGCATGCAATGTAAGAACTCCCGGGTGTCCTGATTCTGGGGTTCCTTGCATTGCAAGGTTGGCTGGGTTCCCGGTTTTGCGGTTCGGTGGGCAGCTGGGCTCCCAGGCTACCAGGGTTCCCGATGCTGGGGGCTCCAGAAATGTATAGCTTGGTGTGGTGGGTTTCTGGAATTCCCGATGTCTTGGTTGTGGCCAAGCGCCTGGGCCTCTGATCGTAGAGGGCACAGCGGGTCGTTACCTGCAGAGTTGCGAGTCAAGTTCATACCGCCTAAATGCTGCTTAGGCTCTCCTGTTGGCGTGACCGACAAGCCTCGGGAACCCTTCGTCGATCGTTGCGGGTCGTCTTTGGGCACCCCAGGAGCTTCCGTGGGTCCCTGGGGCCCTCGGGGAACAGGAAAGCTCTGCGTGGGCACCTGCTGGCACCTGCTGTCCCCCACGCAGGGGTGGAGAGCGGGCGGCTCGACCGCCAGACCTCTCTCTCCGCCGGGTCGCCGCCGACAGCGGAGGAGCTGGGCGGCGGAGCTGCGAGTTGCGAGCTACAGCCAACCCGTATCAGGAGGATGCGCGGTGCGGGTGCGAGGGCCTCGGAGGCCCATGTGAGCGGTCTTTCGAACGAGGCCGGCCAGAGAAAGACGCCAAGCTTGGGCCGAAGGGGCAAAGATGCAAGGGTAGCCTTGGGAAGGCTGCCCATCCTCGCTGTGCGGGTTGACCGCACGAGGCATCCCACGCAGCGGTCGAACCTAACCAGGAGCGACGAATCTGCTCAGCCCTGCTGAGCTGCGTTGGCCGCGTGCTTGCCTCCAACATGGTGGGAGACTCTTGCCTCCGAGGCCCCACCTCACCTCAACAAGGTCGACCACGCTCACGCAACTGGGCAGGAGCAGGAGGGAGGAGGAAAAAGGGAGAAGGCGCGTGGAGGAGGGAGGAGGGTGGCAGGGTGGAAGGGGTGAGAGGCTAGTTCAGACTGGGCCTGCTGTGGTCTAGGGCGCGCACCCTGGGATGGCGATGTCACCTCCCATTTGACGAAGCCACTGAAAGCCTCAAGAGGCCTAGAATGGACAGAACAAATCCAATCACCACGATCCTCGCTCATCGTTTCTGCACCCCGTTCCCCCTCCTCCTCGTCCCCCTCCTCCTCGTCCGCCTCCTCCTCCTCCTCCTCCTCCTCCTCCTCCTCCTCCTCCTCCTCCTCCTCTTTCCTCCTCTCCTCCTCCCTCCTCCTCTTTCTCCTCCACAATCCTCCTCCTCCTCTTCTCTCCTCCCTCTCCTCCTCCTGCCCCCGCTGCTCCTGCTGCTCCTCCTCCCTCCTCCTCTCCTCCTGCTCCTTGCTGCCTGCTCTGCCTCCTGCTCCTGCCTCATCCTCGTCCCCTTTCCTCCTCCTCCTCTTCTTCCTCCTCCTCCTGCTGCTCCTCCTCCTCCTGCTCCTCCTCCTCCTGTCCTCATCTCCTGCTCCTGCTCCTCTCCTGCTCATACTGCTGCTGCTGCTCCTCCTCCTCCTTCCCTCCTCCTCCTCCTCCGCCTCCTCCTCCTCTTTCCTCCTCTCCTCCTCCTCCGCCTTCCCTTCCTCCTCCTCCTCCTCCTCATCATCATCCCTCCTGCTCCTGCTGCTGCCCCTCCTCCTCCTCCTCCTCGGTCCTCCTCCTCACTCCAGCTGCTCCTCCTCCTTCTCCTCCTCCTCCTCCTCCTCCTCCTCCTCCTCTCCTCCTCCTCCTCCTTCCTCCCCTCCTCCTCCTCCTCGACCCCACCTCCTCCTCCTCCTCCTCCTTCACCTCCTCCTGCTCCTCCTCCTCCTCCTCCACCTGCTCCGCCTCCTCGCTTCTCCTCTCTCCTCCACCGGGCTGCAAGCGGCTGTCCGCGCCCGTGCCCATTCTGATAGGCGAGTTCAGCCGCAGCGCCTCGGCGACGGGAGTGGGGCGAGCCCAGCCGGAGCGGGTCTCTTCCCCGTCGCCTCGTCATCGTCGTCGTTAGTCCTCGGTCTGCGTCCCCCTCTCCTGTCTCCTCCTCTTGTACGCCGTCCTCCTCGGCCTCCTCGACCTCCTCGGCCTCCTCCTCGGCCTCCTCCTCCTCCTCCTCCTCCTCCTCCTCCTCCTCCTCCTCGTCCTCCTCCTCCTCCTCCTCCTCCTCCTCCTCCTCCTCCTCCTCCTCCTCCTCCTCCAGTCTCCTCCCCCATCTGTCTTCCTTTGAACAAAACCTGGTCGGACAAGAACGGGAAACGCCGACTTTGTCCAGTGGGCTCGTAGGGGCACACGGCGACAATGAGGACGACGACGAAGAGGCGGCGGACGTCGAGGATGGCAGCGTGGATGACGGGTGGGGCAGCGAGAGGAGCAGAAGGACAAAAGCGCGCTGGATGCGCGTGCGGGGAGGGGGGGGGGGCGGCGCTCCCTGCCGCGCGAGCGCCAGGCACGCCGAGAGACGCCTGCGGGGGCTCACAGTGCGGCGGATGCCTGCAGCGGAGCCGGGCCCTACAGGGGCATCCAGCAGTGCCCCAGCGTGGATCGGGCCCGTGGGTGCACGCGAGTGGGTTCGCACTGGGTCGCAGAGTTGGCGACGACAGCGCCAGATTCTCGTCCCCGGGACCTCCCTTCAGCCACTCGCTCCGCTCATGCGTGGAATGCTGCGCCGAAAGCTCCTCGGCTTGAGTCGAACTTCAATCGGGCAAAGCTCCTCGGCTTGAGTCGAACTTCGATCGGGCTTGCGTCGAGCTGCACTCGAGAGCCAGAGTCGAGCCAGAGTCGAACTGGACCAGAACAGATCTGTTATGGCAGGCCCAAAGGTTGGCACCAACACCGAAGTTGGCGGCGTGCCTCAACCGAGGAGAGATGCTCCCGATCTCGGTGATGGTGGTAATACTCTGGCTTCCCAGGCGGCCGAACTATTGCCACCAACACCGAAATCTGTGATCCTCTGCCCCCGGTGGGCGCGCCCCCCCCGTTTTGGTGCTGGTGCCAAACTCGAAGCCTCCAATGTCAGGTGGGCCCCCCCAAGTGAACCCTCGACAGAGCTGACGACGACAGAGGCCGCGCGCCACGACGTCCACCACCCGCACCAGCTTCTTGTGCTCGGTGGCGTCGAGCATGAGGCGCGAGGCGCCGCTGTTCACCTCGCGCGCCGCGCGCGGGCGGCCCTCGGCAGAGGAGCGGAGGGAGCGAGGACCGGAGGGAGCGAGCCCCGAGCGGCGAGCGCGCCCACATCCGCGCCCTCGCGGTCGCAGGCCTGGAGGTTGACGCCAGCACCAAGATCGGCGGTGTGCCTCCACCGAGGGGAGACGATCCCAATATCGGTGACGGTGGTGATGTTTTGGCTGCCAAGGTGACCGAATTTCTTGCCAGCAGCACCGAAAAATCTAGGACCATCTTCCCCCTGTGGAGACAACCCCTCGTGTTGGTGTTGGTGCCCATTCCTAGGCCTCCAATCGCGGTCTGGATGCCGTGGCGCGATCCCGCGGACGCGCAGTCGCACGCGCGCGTGCGGCGCTGGGGGCCCTGCGCGTGCAAAGTGCTCCGTGTCCGCGGGGTCGCGGCCCAGGGGGCCCGGCCCGCGCAGCCGCGAATGCGGAGCCGTGTCTTGCCCACGAGGGTGAGCGAGCGAGATCGGATCGGAGCCGGCCCAAGTCTCGTCGGGGTGGAACCAGCGGTCTCATCGCAAGCCGGACTGGATCCTGCTTCAGTGAGCAGCTCCTGGGAAGCCTTCGCAAGAGCGAGTAGGGGCTACTTAAGCCGCGTGAGGGGGGCGTGAAGCCAGTCTGGCCCAGACAATGTCCAGGATTGCGCGGGATCGCGCGGGCTTAAGCGGAACGGAGCGGGGTCATGCCCGACTGCGTGGGCCCGTTTCCGACCACGGATATACCAGCTCCGATGCTGAACTTGACCTCTGAGGCCCCCGAGCGTGAATCCGCACGCCCATGGGCAGGTTGGGGCTATCAGGCCCCTATTGGCGATCCATGGGCGATGGGGGGTCGATGCAGCCCCCCTTCTGCCTCTCCCCCCCCCCGGGCCTCGCGGGCCCCACTCCCCGGAGAGAGCCCTTCTCCTTCGCCCCGCAGGCCCCGAGCACTGTCGCAAGAAACCCTACTCCTGCGGCCCGAGGAAATCCCAGAGGGCCCCGAAGAGGAGTTCCGTGGAGATTCGGCTACACGTAAGAGTGACCCTGGGTAAGCGTGACCTTTGGTGCGCGGCTTTTGGGGGGGGGGGGGCGCGGGGAGGCCAAATCCAGGCGCGCTAACCGCTGCTGCCGCTTCGCGTTCGGCCATCTGGGGGCCCATCTGTGCCCGCGCCGAGGGTCACTCCGGCGAAAGGTCACTCCTACGTCGAGTCGAGCGATGGCCTCACGACAGCCCACCCCCCACCCGGGGAAGCTCGCTTCTCCCCCTCCTCCCTCTGCGCGCCCCCCTCGTTGCCCCCGATGGGCGGGGCGGGAGTGGACCTCTCTGCCTCTCGGGAGGCACACCGCGGGGGGGGGGAGGCAGGAGAGCGGAGGCGGCAGCAGCGCCCCGACGGGTGCCCACGGCAGCAGGCGCTGGGAGCCCGCGGCAGCCACAGCCACACGCGGCCACGCGCATGCTGCTAAGACGACGCCAGGACGAGCACCACTTCGGGGGGCATCAGGCGCCGCGGCCCCTCTCGGAGCGTCCCGCGAAACGCTCAGCGAGCGCTTCGGAACGCTTTGGAGCAGACTTCTTGTCGTCCCTGCCCGGTCCGGCGTGCGCGCGTCGGTGCAGCTGCCAGGCCCGACCTTCGCTCTGGCCCCGTGCGCTGGCAGCTGGGGGCGCGCGTCGGTGCAGCTGCCAGGCCCAACCTTCGCTCTGGCCCCATGCGCCAGCAGCTGGGGATCCACCGACACGGGTGGATGCAAACCTGGGCCCGTCGGGCTCTGCAGGATCTCCTGCGGGATCTCCTGCGGGATCCCGCGCGCCAGCCCGGGCCCATGCAACCGTGGCTTTGCAAGATCCTGCAAGATCTGTTAAGAGGCATCTACTGGGAGGTCTTCGTAGGAAGGACCATGGAGGAGTAAGCCCCGTTGGGGGGCTGCTACTCCGAATCAGGCCGCGGACTCGGCGGCACCAAGACGGACTCAGCGGGATTACAAGCCAGATTGAGCGGGCTTTCGGACCGGGGCAAACTATCAGATACTTGACCTCCCAGGAGTTGCATCCGAAGATCTGAGGCTCTGGCTGACCCCGTTTGCATTGGCCCCCGTGACTAGACCAGCTCCCCAGATCCCCGACGTCATGATTTTTTCATGACGCGATAATTACCCAGAGGTCCGGACCCACTCGCCGGGATCGGTTCTTCATCCCGAGTCGTTTTTTGACGGTCCCGAGGCCCGGTGAGCCCCCAGAAGCCGAAAATATCGGGGATGGACAAACCCCCCTTTAGTCAAACGTGGTTTAGTGAAAACGACCTGAGACCCAAACCTGGCGGGCGCAAGCCTGGAAAATAACGGCCACGGCGCCCTCTCGAACACCGTAAACGGACAATTCACTACTCGACGTGTCACTATTGGGGGTTCTGTCCACCCCCGAAAATAGCGAAAAACCTCCCGTCGTGATCTTTTCCATGACCCGAGGGGGTCTGGGTCCACGGAGCCCCGTCTTCGGCGCGCCGGCCACCCCTCCTCCCCCGCGGGCCTCCGGCGGCCTTCGGCCGCGTGGGGCGGAAGGGGTGCAATCCTTTTTTTTTGCAATCCTTTTTTTTTGCAATCCTTTTTTTGCAATCCTTATTCTATTTGCAATCCTTTTTTTTGCAATTTGTTTGCATTTTTTCTGCAATCCTTCATTTCTTTTGCAATCCTTCGTTCGGGGGAGGGCCAGGCGCCTCCGCGGCCAGCTGCTCCACGGTCTTGGCCTTGCCCTTGCCGAAGACGGCGGTGTCGATCCGGTGCTCCTGCGGCCCCGCCCCCCCGCCCCGCTCCCCCAACAGAAATGCCGCGAGCGCCGCTGCACTCCGCTGCGCTCAGGTCGGGCATGCCCTCCTACAGGCGGATTGTTCAAGAAAAATACAAAGATTCAAACAAAGAGCCAGAAACGAACACGACAAATCGTCACCCGACTATGTTTCATGTACTTTTGGACTCTTTTTCCCGGTGCAGGCACATGCCCACAACTCAACGCCACCCCACTTATACGAGGATGCGATGTTCCCAATCCCAGCGTGTTCCCTCGACGCCCGACTCGGTGATCCGCTGACCCGGGTCAATCTAAACCCGGATCAGTTGGGCATTGCAGGATCATTCAAGATCCTGCACCCAAACCCGGGTCAATGCGAAGGATCCTGCAAAATCCTGCAGGATCCTGCACCCAAGCCCGGGTCAGTGCGACCCTGGCCCTGCAGGATCCTGCGAGATCGGGCGCTCTGGCTGACCCCCGTTTGCATTGACCCCCATCGTGAGGCTCCCGACCGACTCTGCCGAAGCCACCGCCGGCGTCGCCGACGCACCGGCAATGCACCGGCGATGCGGCGCGAGATCCCCCGACGCCAGCAGCGCGGGCCCCATCCTGGGAGGCCGCGGTCGGGGCCGCCCGAGCCGCGGAGGCACCACAGATGCGAGGCGGTGGGCTTGTCTTTCACCACCACCACCACCACCAGAAGTAGACCTCCTTCGCTCCTCCAACTCCTGGTGGTGGTGGTGGAAAACAAGCCCATCACCCACCGCCTGGGAACCGACGCCCTGGTGCCCCGGCGGGCGGTGGACATGGATAGTTACGTCTTGGCCCCCAGGGGCCCGACTATAGATCCATGTCCACCGCCCGCGCCGAGGTACCCGAAGGCTTGATCCTCCAGGCGGTGGCCATGTGTGAGTTCCCGCCTCCGAACAAATCAGATCGGCGCATGGCTGGCCCCGGACTGCCCGCAGGATCTGGTGCAGGGCTGGACCTAAACGGGGTTTCTGGCGATTTCGTGGGCTGGTTTACAGAACGAGAACGAAAAGCACCGTCGTCGGGGGCGGCAAAGAGGGGGGTGTCAAAGAGGGGGGGTGCAAATCATGACCGGCGGCATGTGCGCGGCCCAGCGGGGGGGACAGGGACGTAATGAAACAAGAAGAGGCGCCATGACGTCTGGGGAAATATCATGGCCCCCGCCATGAGATCCACCCCCCCCCCCTAGTCATCACCCCCCTCGTTTCCGTCCCCGACGTCGTCGGGGACGCCGCCGCAGGCAGCCCCCCGAGAGTGCCAGGCGCCACAGGGGCCTCGACGCCTGGGCGGGCGCGTGCGGGCGCAAGTGGCCTGGGTGTGCAGCCCGGTGCCTCTCTGCCCCGCCCCTGCCGCAGCCGCTCCTCCTGCCCTCCCCCTCCCTCCCTCTCTCTCTCTCTCGTTCGCTCCGGCGTCGCTCCCCCTCGAGGATCCTGTCCCCAGAAATCCGGCGTCCTGCTCCCTCGAGGCGGGCGGGGCCCCAGGGAGCACCCGACGCCATCCCCTGAGCCTCAACCAGTATATGATGGCCCTGGAGCTCGATGGCGGCCTCCAGACGCCCGAGACCGCGGAGAAAAACTCGAGCTGAATCTTCCTAAGCCGCCAGACGTCTGAGTCTGGGTCACTCCAGGTGAGGAGGAGGGCCTCCCGAAAGGAGGAGGGGCAGCGGCCACGGACTTTGACTATTTCTCAGCAGAAGTAAGCGAACAGTGAGCACTCTGCGCAACTTTGCAACGCGCTGCAATCGCCGCGCCCCGCGACCGGGTGCCACACGGAGACCGCGCCTTGCAGGACCCGTGCCGCCCCAGCGGTAGAAACGGCATCACCGTCCCGAACTCGGGCAGTGCTGCTCGAATTTCAACCACTTTGGTGTCTGTTTCACAAGAGCCTTCGTGGCCCCGAGCGCTGTCCGATTTGGGCCCGGTTCGGACCAGATTTGGAACACCTTTGAGACCGGGTTTGGGCCTGATTTGCCGCTTCGCAAGGGAGACGAGAGGGGAACCAGGGGGAGCAGGGACAGGAAGGGCGAGGAGGAGCAGGAGCAAGGCCTCATGCGGTCCAAATGGTCCAAACGCAAGAAAAGCTGCCTTCAAGGTCGCCGCCCAAGGCTCCCGGAAACGCACACACACATTTGAGCAGGGACCGAACGTCCCGACATTGCCACAGGCCTACCACGAAGTCTTCTTAGAGCCCAGACATGTTCCCAGAACAAAAACAGCGTTCTGAAAAGTAGCCCGATGTGTTAAGGCAAGACAGTCTCAGCCAGAAGTGTTCTAAGAACATCTGGTGCAGACCAACATAAAGACAGCTCCTTAGAACAGCCTGTGGTGGGCCTAAATGGGCAACCCGGGACGCCTGGCCACTGCTGGAGGCAGCGAGCCCTACTTCTGCAGAGACATCTGGAAGAGGGTGGGCCGGTAATGCTCGAAGATGCAGTGGGCGCGGCGCTTCTGCCCCTCCGTGAAGCCCACCATGCACGCGTCCGGCGAGTAGTCCATGAAGTTGTGGACCGGGGGCTCGGCCTCGCCGCAGGCGTCGTCCAGGACGCAGTCGTAGTGCGGCAGCCGCTCGGGCGCCGTGTCCGCCACGAAGTCGCCGTGCCCCCACGCGCCGCAGCCGTTCTCGAAGGTGTGGTAGAGGCCGAAGGCGTGCCCGCTCTCGTGCACGACGGTGTCCCCCTCGTCGTACGCCATGTCGGTGTTGTGCCGGCTGGCGTAGCCCTTGAACCCAACTGCCGACACCACAACCATCTGATCATGGCTGTTCTCAGGGACGTTGAAGGGGAACTCCGTCTGACCCAGGACGCCAGATTCGTCGTTTGTGATGATGACGACGGTGAAGTACTTTGCTGCGTCTTGATTATACTGGTACAAAATCTCCGGGCTCACGAACCCACGCTTGGCACAGTCCGCGTCGGTCACGATCTTGACATCTACAAGCTTGAAGCTAATCTGCATGTCCTCGGACACTGGATGGCCTGAGTCGAACATCATGCGCGTCCAGGGCGAGTGCCCACCGAACGCTTGGTTGACCCAATCGTTCTGCTCCCGCACCATCTTCTCGGTGAGGCTGTCGTCATCGTCCGACTTCCGGCAAACGACGTACCTCGTTGGAATCTCAAGCCTCTGGGTAGAGGGCACCTCAGGCAGCTTGTCGGACATGCCGCACGGGGTCAGCGACCCGTCTGTGGCGCTCCCCCGGCGCATGACGGCGTGCCTGTGCGGCTTCGCATTCTCTATGTGGAAAGACCACTGGTCCGGAAGCCCGACGTGGCCCGAGGTCTCGTAGACCTTGCTGCAGGGATGAACCGAAACGGTGTTGTTCGTTTTCGTATTGTTGTTGTGTTTCCCTCGTTTGGTCTTCAATCCACCTCTGCTGCCAAACGAAGTCAAAACGAAAACGGCCCACGAGATCGCCGAAACACCGTTTAGGTCCAGCCCTGCCTTGATGCTGCCCTCGCTCCCGCCGACGCTGGCCACCCTGAAGCAGCCCCGCGAGCCGCGCAGGGTGCCCTCGCCGCAGGAGGACGGCAACCTCAGCCCCGAGAGCGCCGTCTCGCTGCAGCTGGGGTAGTACGAGTTGGCGACCATGTCCCTGAAGAGCGCGGGGTATGGGTGCTCCACATGGTTATAGAAGGACGCCCAGACTCTGTCGTTGGGGAGGTAGAGGCACCCGCCCTTGGGCAGCACCGGAGCTCCGGGGTTCGACATCACAAAGTGGAGGATGTGCTTCGAGTGGCTCATGTTGTGAGCTCCATCCAGCAGCTGCCTGGCCGTGCGGTACACCTCCAGGTGCTCCTCGGCCTCCTCTGTTGCTATGCTCCTGTACTTCCTTCTCTGCTCAGGGCGCACATGCTCAGCTTGATTTGTCGGTTCGACATCTTCCTCGTCAAGCAGGAAAGACGGGTGAATCTCCTTCGTGGACAGCGCTTCAGACAGGTCGGTGCACAGGCCGAGTAGCACAACCCCCGCCAAGGCGTGGACCGCCATCGGAACCGGTTACGTATGCAAGTAAGTACGTGTTGCTAGAACTACGGCCACGTCTACGGTTTGACCCTGTCATATTCTTGAGACAAAACGGCGATTGAAGGAGGAGGATTTGGAAGGCGAGGAGGTGAAATGGGAGAGAAAAACCAGAGAAGTACAATGGAATCAGAAGAGGCACAGGCAAATCATTGCCAAATACGCTGTATGATTGAAGGATGATCGAGCTCCATCTTTCGCCATGAGACGAGCACCCGCTAACAGGTAGTGGAGACTGTGGGAACTTGACAAGAAGGACGCTTGCTTGCCACCAGTGGGACCTCCCGACAGGAGGACGAAAGCGGAAAGAAAGTCTGAAGATGTAGATTCGCACGTGCTCTAGAATGACGACGCAGTGTACGTTACTCGAGCTGGCACACTGCAGGAAGGCCCCCGGCCCCTCCGCCAACATCTGCGCGAAGATCTTCGTCTCGCCGGACTCCTCCTTGACGTGTTGCTTGTTGTTCTTCAGGTTCGCCTGCCGGTCGCCCGAACGAATCCCCTCCCTGACAAAAAAGACGGGCGACGACGGCCGACGACCGAACCCGACGACAACGACCGATGACGACCGACGACAATGCGACCGATTACCACGACGACCACCACCAACGACGACGAAGACGACGACAGGGCAGGTCCTGGGCAGGAGATGGAGTTGGTGGGGGCATGGGGAGACTGGAGAAGGAACTGCAGGTTCGTGACGTGACGACAACAACGTTGGCTTCTGACACCGCGTGTGCGAGACGGGGATCTATCCATATTCACCGCCCGGGAACCGACGCCCTGGTGCCCCAGCGGGCGGCGGACATGGGTAATTATGTGTATATATATATATAACCTCATGCCCGTGAGAATAAACACTAGGGGATAATAAAGTTCGGGGTTCAGGGAGAGATAATAAAAGTAGCCCAGCAGACCTCATAATCAAGTTCAGGCGAGCGTGGGGAGAGATAGAAATATAAAAGAAGAAGAGGAGAGTAGAAGAAGAATACGAGGAGAAGAAAAGAATAAGCAGGAAGAAGAAGAGAAGAATAAGAGAAGAAGAGAACAAAAATAACAAACAAAAAAAAGTTTCGAATGTATTAGATTTTATTTACAAACGCTTTGTGAAAATTGATGTTTTTAAGTGCTCGTGTAGGGTAGCTCATGTGCCTCACTTTCCCTGGATACTCAACCCCAGGGATAATCAAGTTCAGGCGAGCGTGGGGAGAGATAGAAATATAAAAGAAGAACAGGAGAGTAGAAGAATAATAAGATGAGAAGGAAATAATAATAATAATAAGGAAGAAGAAGAGAAGAAGAAGAAGAGAAGAAGAGAATAAAAATAAAAAAACAAGTTTCGAATGTATTAGATTTTATTTACAAACGCTTTGTGGGAATTGATGTTTTTAAGTGCTCGTGTAGGGTAGCTCATGTGCCTCACTTTCCCTGGATAATCAACCCCAGGGATAATCAAGTTCAGGCGAGCGTGGGGAGATATAGAAATATAAAAGAAGAAGAGGAGAGTAGAAGAAGAATAGGAGGAGAAGAAGAGAAGAAGAAGTCGTTTGAGTCTGCCTCCCAAAATTATTGGTTTCGCTTGACACATCCTGAAAAAGTGTGATCGCTTCGCTTGATGTTGCTATATCAACATCGCTTGATGTTGCTATCTCAACATAGCGTTTCGAGGTGATAATGAAGTTCGGCCTCAGCGCTCGCCGCCCAATTTGAATTTTGTATAGGGCGACGATAATCAACTCTAAACACTGAAGGGGGGGTCCCTTTATTATCATCGGCATGCGGTTATACTAGAACCATCGCGCGCTTCGCACGCGCTCAAGTTCTAGCTAGCTTCTTGGGGCCTCCTCGGAGCATCCTGGACTGCTTCTTGAAGTCGTCATGGGACCTTCTTGGCATGTCTTCAGGGGCCTCTAAGAAAGAGTTTTGAAGCCTTTTGGGTGCCGTCTTGGGGCCTCTTTTGGGCTTCTTGGGAGCCTCTTGGGGCCTCTTGGGGGCCTCTTGGGGGCCTCTTGGGGCCTCTTGGGGGCCTCTTGGGGCCTCTTGGGGGCTTCCTGGGGGCATCTTGGGGCCTCTTGGGGGCATCTTGGGGCGGAGAGCTTGAGTTTTCAGTTCGCGTTCCCTCTCTTGGGCCCCTCTTGGGGCCTTCTTGGGACCCTCTTGCGCCGTCTTGGGCGGCTCTGGGGCCGTCTCGGGGCTCTCTCGGGCCGTCTTGGGCCCTCTTGGGGGCCTCTTGGGCCGTCTTGGAGCGGTTTGGGGGGCCTCTTGGGCGGTGCTTTAGCGCCGGGAACACGAAACGGAGAGAGTGCAAAAAAACATTGAAAAAACAATGAAAATCCATGATTTTGCCCCTCTCGGGGCGCTCTTCGGCGGCATCTTAAAGGCCTCTTGGGGCGTCGTGGGGGCCTCCGGTGCAATTTAAACGCATCGTGCGTCGACGGAGACCCCTGGACGTCATCTTGGGGGTGTCTCGAGACCGCCTGGGGCCGCCGAGATTGCTGTCTGAGGGCTCCCCGAGGCGATTTTACGCCTCCCAGAGGCGGGCCCGGGCCCCGGGCCCCACATTTGTGGTCGGGGTCCCAGCCCCCGGCCCCCAGACCCGGGTCCCCCCTTATATGTATATATATATATATATATGTATGTACGTATGTATGTATATGTATATGTATGTTTGGCCCCCGGGAGTCCGAAGATGTCCATATCCACCGCCTGCCGAGATCCTCGAAATTAATCCTCCAGGCGGTGGTCCTGTAGAAATTCCCGCCTCGGAGCGTGGACCGTTCCAAGTTGAACAAGAGCGGACCCCCCAGAAATCAACTTGCTCGATGTCGGCCGATGCCGGGCCACTTGATGGGCCTGTCTTCCACCACCACCACCATAAGTCGGAGGGGGAGGCGGTCCTCCTCCTCCTCCTCCTCCTCCTCCTCCTCCTGCTCCTCCTCCTCCTCCTCCTCCTTCCCCCCTCCAACTTATGGTGGTGGTGGTGGTGGTGGAAAACTGGCCCATCACCACTGGCAGCGTTAACCTTGAAGGCCCGCGAGCGGGTCGCTTGGAGGCGACGCGGGGGGGGTGAACTGCATGGGCCCCGAGAAGATCGGGCAACAGAAGGGGGGACGAGGGCACATCCGATCCATCCGGTGCAGCTGTTCTCCCTGGACCCGCTTGTGGCGACCCCCAGGGCCCGAGAACGGCCCCCGGGGGCAGAACTAAAGGCAGGACGCACCAGCCTGGAACATGTCCCTGTCCCTGTGCTGGGCACCTCCTCATCACGATGCCCATCTTAGGGATTCCCTTATTCTTGAGGGCGAATCCCTAGGATTGTCATCGCCTTTTGGCGTGTCAATCCTTAGGGATAGGGATGCGCTCGAGGCTGGTAAAGGACCACTCCTCGAACAAAGAGCCTCGCACCTCTCCGCCAGAGCCGGTGCAGGGGCACCTCGGACCTCCAGCTGGCACCAAAAGAGGTCGCCGCCGCAGCGGCACGGCACAGACCCACCGCACTGGCCAGGGGGTGTCGCAGGGGGCAGACAGACAGACCTCGCTCTTGACCTCCCTCGCTTCCAAGAGATACCATTACCAGCCTGGAACATATCCCTATCCCTATGCTGGGCATCTTCTCATCACGATCCCAATCTCAGGGATTCCCTTATTTTTTTAGGGCGCATCCCTAAGATTGTCATCGCTTTTTGGCGTCTCAATCTTAGGGATAGGGATACGTTCGAGGCTGGTAAAACCAAGCGATGCCAAACTACGGCCTGCACTGGTCAGGCCGCTCGACGAGGAGGCGCGTGGTACGACTCGGTTTTGCCTGGAAGCGAAAGCGGGGTAGGCAATTCACGCTCTGATGTAGGGGGCTCAGTCAGCACTGGCCTGGCAAATCGGATCGACCTGAAGTGACGTGCATCGGATCGGGCTGCATCGCCACGGCGCCGGAATCGGCTCTCGCGCCGGCTGCGCCGCGGGACGCCCGCGAGAGCGCCATAATTATGCAGGCGCCGTGCCGCCTCGCGCCGCCGGCGCAGCGGAGCCGAGCCGCAGCGGCTCGGGCTGGCCGGAACCGCACCGGATCGGCCTCGGCTCGATCGGATCGAACCCATCCGATCGGATCGGTCGCACCCGGACGGAAGCGAGCCGCTCGGAACCGCACCGAACCGGAGCGGATCGACCGGACCGAAGCGGACCCCAACGGGAGGCGGCGGTGCCCGCGGGCGGGCGGGCGGGGCCGGGAGCCGGGCCTCCAGGTCGAGGAGCCCCGCCTTCGAGACCCGCTCCTGGTCCCACCACTCGTAGACGACCTTGACGCCTGCGCGCCAGCCGCGCGCGGCCCTTGGCACCCCCCGAGAGCCTGGCGCCTCGCATCTCTTCGAGCCGGGCGCTCTCGCCCCGTCTCGGGCCCCGCTCCCGGCCCCAGCGCTCGCAGACGACCTGGCCACGGCGCCTGCGCATCCGCCGCGCGCGGCCCTTGGCACCCCCGGAGATCCTGGCGCCTCGAATTCGCTCGCGGGGCCGTCCAAGAAGGGGGCGTCCAGGAGGGGGGAGGCGCAAGTCGTGGCCGGCGGCACGTGCGCGGCCCAGGGGGGTGCCGTGGAGGTATTGAAATAAGAGAGTAGCAATGAAGTGTGGCCCCCGCCATCACATCCACCCCCCCCCTGCTCATCACCCCCCTTGGCCGCCCCCGATGTCGAGCCGGGCGTTTTCGTCCACCTTATGGCCTCGGGGACCTCACGGATCGATCGGGCTCGAAAAGCGGGGCAGAAAGACGGGGCGGAGCTCCCGCATGGTGTTGTGTTGCGACGTTACATGTTTCTAGAACGCCAGATTTCAAGGATGTGATTCTGCTCGCCATGGCACCAAATGCGAGAACGGCGCATATGCACTGTACCATGGTTGGACTCCCTTTCGGCTCCGCTCCAATGCGGTACCGTGCAAATTGTTGCTCGGCTCTGGGGGCAGAAAAACTGTGCACCGTACAATTCTTGGCTCGAGGATCGGCCACGCCTCGGGAGAGGCCAACGCGTCGCCACCGCCGCCGACGTCGTCGTCGACATCGTCGTCGTCGACATCGTCGTCGTCGACGTCGTCGGCGTCAGCGTCGGCGTATGCAATGGCTTCGGCGTCGCTGACGGCGTCGGCGTCGTTGTCCCCCTTCAGGGTCGGCGGCACTGGCCCTACGACCTTCGCAGCCTAGCTGGATAGTTTTCGGGAAACGGCGGAAGGTATGGTTCAAGAAGGTGAAATCGACGCTGCTGGAGCGCCTCAGGCTGGCCTGGGGGGGCCTCAGCCCTAGCGAAACCAACAGGTGCCCAAATAGACACAAACAAATCTACACACACACACACACTTATACGACTTCCCACGTGCTTCCATAGCTCTTGGAGTTTCCTCGTCCCCTGCACGTGCTGTATTTCTCCCACACATGAAAAGTAAGGTTTTTGTTCGTGTTCGTGCCTAAATATGTACATCCCGGCTTCTCTCTTCTATCTCTCTCTCTCTTGTGCGTGTTGTTGTTGTTGGTGGTGTGTGGTGGTTTGTTGTTGTTGTTGTTTTGTTGGTGGTGGTGGTGGTGTGGTGGTGGTGGTGGTGGTGTGTGTTGTGGTGGTGTGGTGGGGTGTGGTGGTGGTGGTGGGGTGGGGGGGGGGGGGGGAAGCGGCGGATCTCGTCCCAGAGCGGCGAAAGCGATCGGCACGGAGAGGGGAGAAGGAGGAGGAGGAGGAGGAAGAAGAGGAAGAGGAGAAGGAGGAGAGAGTGAGAAGAAGGCGGAGGAGGAGGAAGGGCAAGCATGAGGAGGGAGGGCCCCGAAGCCGTGCGGCGACGGACCACGCTTGACCTCGGAAGCCCCCGACGACCCCACCGCGAGCTCCGTCACTGCACGGGCCTCCTGGCCCCCCCCCCTCCCCCTCCTCCTCCTCCTCCTCCTCCTCGTCCTCGTCCTCGTCCTCCTCCTCCTCCTCCTCCTCCT